CTTAATTTACTTATTTAGCTTTAAGTCAGTGACTTGAAATCTAACCTTGTTTGGTCTTTTTAAGAGATTGCTAGTCCAAGTGTGGCAATCTTTTGTGTAATTTAAACTACCTTTTTCTACAAGTTAAATAAACCCAACCACTGGGGAATCACTGATGGTTCATTCATACTGGTTGCCCATGCTGATAACAGTCCTGTCCTTTTAACCTCCTAACTAATGGATCCCTTGTGATTAAGGGAAGCATTCAATAAGTAGTGCTATTGTGTGATTAAAATGATTTGTTGTTTAGTCTACATTAGTGACCTCCTATCAGCAGTAGGTAATATAAACATGAAACTCAACAGTGGGCAGCTGCAGTCTGTCTGGTGCACAGAGGGAGGCAGTAACACAGTCCAACATGTGTGGGATGATGGAGAGGTACATATATTAAGCTTACCCATCATCCAGGAAGTAGCACTGCCAGGTACTGGGGCTGCCCTCCATGGACTGAATAATCCTCTCTACCCCAAATACATCCAGGAGCTCACCCCCGACCTCTAGCTGCCTCTGACCCAGCTCTCTCTGAGCACAAAAGAGACCACAATCAGAGCTCAGTACTCAAACAAGTTACTGATGGACCAGGATGTCTTACACAGCCATAAAGACTTACAAAAGAGGTGTTAATTATGTGTAATCCTGGGTCTAAGGAGACAAACGTCATGTTTTCTGGCATCTTCCTCCTCAGAGCGATCAGGCGCATCAGCAGCAAGCTGGAGCCCTCAGTTACCAGCCCTCTCAGGACAGACATGGGGTAGGACATGCTTTCTTCTGTCACCTCCTGTACACACACACACACACACACACACACACACACACACACACACACACACACACACACACACACACACACACGCACACAAATGACAACATGCAGTAAATGCGCAACAGTAAGTAAGGATTTTGTAAATACTGGACTAACTCTTGCAAAGAGAGCGTGGAAGTTGCTTTGAATGACTGTGTTACTGTTTCATTAATATATTAGTGAGTTGACCTATAAAGCAGTGGTTATCTGACCTCTCCCACAGTCGTAACCTTATGGATCACCATCAACCCATCACGCTGCACCATGTGACACCTCTTGTCCACACTATGGCCCTCAAGCTGAGGAGAGAAGTATAGAAGCACATCAAAGGTGCAATATTT